CAGTCCTAGACCTTCAGCCGGGTTTTATAAAACCTTTTCGCTTTAGGCCTCTGCTGCCGTTCAATCAATCAGTCAATTTCAACTTCTCGTGGGGAAAAAAAAGATCTTGCAAAGTTGGAATTGATTGATTGAACTTTTTAGTCCCACCCAGTCTGCCGTTACCACCGCAGCCATGCCCACCCAATTGGCCACACCCAGGGAATGGGCCACACCCACCCGGCACCCGACGATGCATAAGTGGGTTTTGGGTTGCAGTTTGGGCACTCGGTCTCTAAAAGGTTTGCCATCACTGCTTTAGCTCATTTCTTTTTTTATATATATATAAAATTTAAATTTTATTGAAAACAAAAATTAAAAACATTGAACATGGTAAATCAGATTTGATATACATCTCGATTCACTAATCACCATTAATTACAGGTGAGAAAAACCTATACAAGTAACATCACTCTAATCACAATCTTCACTTATCTCATTACAATAACTACTTTAGCTCATTTCAAGTGTTTACTTTCCTCTCAGCTCGAATCCAGCAAGAAGCAATATGGAAGCTTCTTTTTTCTTACACTCTTTCACTTTCATACATATCGTGTGATTCTTCTACTGGGTAATATCAGGGATCGATTCGAAGCTGAGACCTCATGCGTACAAAGCATGTGCTCTACAACTGGGGTTGGGATTGCTTCTGTATATTAGATTTACTAATGGCAGATGAACAGAACAGTCATACAGGGAGAATGGGCGCTCCAGAGACTATTTCCATTCAGTTGCAAAAAAAGTTGCTTTCAATATTCTAAATGGGTCAGAATGCTTTTTTTCCCCCAGGCTCCTCATGTCATTCATCTGCGTGGTGGAGTGAAGATGGGGGAAGCCTCTTTGCAAGACAGTATTATCGTAGATGGCTTGACAGATGTTTTCTACTGTTATCACATGGGTATTACAGGTAAGCCACATGGAAACAGCATTTTCAAAAAGGTTGGATGAAAGCGTGTCCCAACTTTATTTCACCAAAAAAAGGAAGAATGGACAGAAAGCAAAAATTACAAGGATGAGAGGAAAAATACTGCGCAATGTCCAGCTTCGATGTAGGGTTGTCAGCTGTATTTGCTATGAATCCCTGTACCCCCAGACTGTAAAAGCATGGAAATACCTATATATGTCCAGGCATGTATGTTCTAGGGGGAGAAAAGTAAAGAGAAAGAAGCCCTATTTAGGGCCACATTCCCCAGGCAAAGCGCTTCTCCCAGGTCATCGATGCACACTGAAAGCCATATTGGCATAGTAGTTAGGATGTTGCAGTAGATGCAGAAGGCCCAGATTCTAATCTATACTCTGCCGGGAAGATTCACTGGACTTCAGGCCAGTCACTCTCTTTCTGTCCAACCTACCAAAATAGGAGGAAGGAGTGCTGTGGACAATATCTTGAGCTCTTGCCAAAAGGTGTGATATAAATAACAGAATAGTAATAAATAACTACAGTTTATGATATAATATATTTGCATCTATTGTATACTTAATGTATATTACCGTTAGGCATGTAATAAATGCTGTGTTATAAAACAAATAATCTTCAAAGGCCTTCTATCACTTTGCAGCCATTTATACCTCGTGCTCAGTTGCTTTTCAATAGCTTTTTCTATTGTAATCAGCTAATCAAGTAGAATCAACCTCACCGGACTTCAGAATTGCATTTCTTTGCAGTTGTATACTTGTGCTCTCATTTATTCAGTGTAAATAATTTTCCAACAAAAACAAATTCAAAACTGATAAGAATGTGTGAACATTACGTGCTGGAAACAATGTATTCCCTATCAGTATTTGAAGATTCAGAGTAATAAATGTAATAAGTACACAATAACTAAATTGTAAAGTATCTACTGTATTTTTTAATTGTTTCAGCTGAAAATGTGGCCAAACGATGGAAGGTCAGTCGAGAAGAACAAGACCACCAGGCTGTAATGTCTCAGAATAAGGCTGAAAATGCCCAGAAGGGTGGATATTTTAATAAAGAGATTGTACCTGTTGCTGTACCTTCTAGAAAAGGTCAGTGAGCAGTTTGACATACTGGACAAGGGACTGGGACCTGTTTCTAACTATTATGATCCACCTTTGTATTCATTTTTATTTGCTTCAATTCTTCCTCATAAATTAGAATAATTGATGTCTTGGGAAAGGGACACTTAGTAACCTCAAGGATAATTACTTAGTCTTTACTGCTAGATGAAAATAATTTATGAATGTAACCATTGTGTCCTGCCAGTTAATAACCATCTAGATTTTGGAAAGAGAAGTATAATTACAGATCCGGAAAAAATGTCATGTAATATTCATTGCTACCACAATGTCAATTTTGAAGTGGTTCATAGATTGAACCAGAGTTTCTTCCTGATAGAGTACCATGTATTTTTGTAAAAAAAAAAAATGTATTGCCGGTAATTTAATAGTAATTTAAAGAATAATCCCCCTGAATTTTAGAATTTCTTGTGAGTTAATTTCAAGAGATACTAAGTCAATGTTTGGGACCTTATTATGAGTTTAATATATTTTTCTATGCTGTAGTTTGTTTAATAGTGATCTGTTGAATAAATCACAGCAGATGAACTTTATATCTTATGCTAAACCAAAATCAACCAAACAACATAAATTGGGTTTATACTGTATCTAAAGCCCAATTTAGAACTCTATGACTTAATATATGAACTCAGTTTATTACTCCTAGGCTAGAATACATGTAATTAAGGAATGTGCAGTCACTGAAAAGTTCTAACAGTCATTGTCATACAAGGGAGAAATAAGCATAATATTACTACTTTTTAATAACAAGAAGCATATAGTTTATAGCTTGTGAACTGGACATTAGAGTTCCAGGATAAAATGCCACTGCAGATGACTCTTCTACAACTCTATTGAAGGTCAGTGCATTTTTTTAAAAATAAAACTTTTCTGTTTCATCAAAGAATAAAATGTAAGAAAATAATAAAATAAAATAAAATAAAAAAATAAAGAAGTAGTAAAGAAAAAGTCAAGAAGGGATCAAGACTAGGAGTGCAGAAAAGGAAAAGGAAATAGAAAAAAAATAACTTCCCACTTTCTTTAGTAGAGGCACAAAAAATAACATACAGTAACCTTTTACTCTAAGATCAACGTAACACAATATTTCTATAATCATAACAGTTCTAATTGTCAAATGCCAAAATCAACATTTCATTTGATTTCAAGGAAAAAATCAAAAAGTGTTTTCCAAGTAAAAACAAAGCTAGAGTCTTCTATTTAATCAAAGTATTTTTTTTGTTTCCACCAATTCCATTCATTACACCATCAATTCTTCCATTACGGGAATCTGTAAGTGCTTCCATTCCTGTGCATACAAAAGTCTTGCTGATGTTATCATAAATAAAAACATACCCTTTTTTTTAAAGACATTTATCTATCAAGCCTAAAAGAAAAATCTCTGGTTTCAGTTGTGGATTCCAGTATTGCTCTGCCTTTTTACATTTCTACCAAAGATGATAAAAATGTACCTTCGGGCTGATTATATTTCCAACATATGTTTGACACATCCTTGTGCATCCTGACAGTTTATCAGATGTTAAACACCATCGGCAAGGGCAGTGCATATCT